CACATACTTCTCCTTTAGTTTTAGCTTCGTCTTGACCCACGTGTTTACAATAGGTTGACCTAAGCACTCTAAATTCTCTTGGACATTTTGCTAGTATTTCCTAGTAGATCCTATAAGCTTCATTTTTGTGAAGCAAACGCATTGCATGTCACTCATGTTGTATCAGTAAAAGTAGTCATCTATAATAGTTAACCAATCTAGGAAGTCACTTGGGTTTAGCCCACCATCAAACTCGAGTGCTTCTACCTTAACCCTTTTAGTGGTATCATCATAGAAATTATGTCAAAAGGGCTCTTAGTTATGCTTAAAGGCTGATGCTCTACTCCTTAGGAAATACCAATTCCTAAATGGCGATTCATATCGCTCATGCCTATCTTGTTCATCCCAAGGCACTTCTTCTTCCTCATATGGTTGGGGATTAGTCATAAAGTAAGGTGGTCTAGTTTTGGGATTGTTAAGGCTCATGAAAGATTGATGAATGATCATAACCATGGGCCTTATATCAACATTCCTAGTATGCACCTGACCCCTATCATTAGGATTGTCCATTAACCCTTCTAAACATTTTTTGGTCATTTGTCTTGTTAGTTCTTGAAAGGCATCCCATAATTTCTAATTTTTGCATTCAAAGTCATGCTGAAATGCCATAAGATTTCGATATATTCTATCAAGCTTTTTAGTAAGGTCAACTAAGGTCTTGGTAATGTTTTCAATAAAAAGTTGATGGGTGTGTTTATCTCGATCTATTTGCAAGGAAGTCAAGTTGAGATTTAATAGAATTAAGCTCTTGTTCAAAGAAGAATTGATTGTTGTAAAGGTTACGAATGGTCATGCAAAAGTAAAAGTAGACTAATATGCATGTTTAGGGTGGTTCTATCTTAAAGGATAAAGGCTCTCAGGTTGTCCTTACCAAAAGTAAAGAACCTATTTTACAAGTCTAATCTTATAGGAACTTAAAAGTTCCTCAAGAATCATATTCATTAAATAAGTAATAACTTGAGTGAAGTTTTCACTGTGATCTTAAAGGATTTAAAAATCCTTCAGGAAAACTATTATAAACTTCAACTAACTAAAGGTAAAAGTTGGGCTGAATATAAGGCTGAATGTGTGTGATCCTATAATATGGAGTAGGTGTAAATCAATAATGAGTAATAAAATTATAAATTAACTAATGAAGAACAAAATAAGGAAAAAAGAAATTGCGCACATATGCAACTTTTTTGTTTGGCGATAAATAAAATTGAGACTATAACATAGACAAATAGAAAATGATCAAACTAAATAAAATATTGAGATTAAATCTCTAAAAGTACTAAAAGTTGCAGTAAATAAATAGATGATTAATTGGGCTTTAACAATGCAACTTAAAGAAGTTGATAAATAAAAATATTTTTTTTAATGACCTTATGAGATGATTAGTAGCTTTGAGAAAATTGAAGACAGTAGATTTTACATGCAGGAGAGGAAAGTGAAATTTTTTTCAACTGAAAACCAAACCCTAAGGAGGTTGGGAAAAGGGAAACATGTGGAAGCAGAAAAAGTAAAGTGAGGCAAATTTTGGAAAAAAATTAGAAGATATTTAAATTGACTACACAGCTTTGCTCTTTTACTGTGGGAATCTTTTTAGAAATTTGTCATATATATTAACTCTTGCTTTTACTTAATACTATTACTTAACAGAACGTCGCCTCGTTGTCAATTTGTTGGATGAACTTGGAAGCATCGTTGAAGCCCTCTGGAATTTTCTCAGCTGTTGAATTGGACCACCGACTTTCAAATTAAAATTCGTCATTGTTGTGTCATTCTTACCTGTTCTTTCCAAAATTCGTCATCCCTATGTCATTCTTACAAGCTCTCTGTTTTTTAAGGGGAAAAAAAAATCTGAATTATCCTCACATGATGATGATGAGTGGATTACTTACTATGAGAGCTGTCAATAAAAAATCGATATGCTCCCTAAGTTAAAAAAATATAAAATATTTTTTAAAATGTTGGATGATTAAAAATATAATATATTTTTAACCTTTTGAAATATAATTATTATTTTTTTAAAGTGCCCTTATTAATAAATAGCTTTATATTTATTATATGGTATTTAATAGGGATTATCCATATATAAAAAGATAGGGTTAATTTTAAAGTAAATAACTATTTTATTGGAAAGCAGATATTCAGTTAAAAATTTCGTATATTTTTTAACAGAGAGAGTATATGATTATCTCTTATGCCTATAGAACACGTTGAAATGATTGTTTCTAATTAATCAAATTTATACTTAAACTATAAAAATGAATAAAGTCCATTAGTCCAATATCAATTAAGAGGAATGGAAGAAATTAGATGTGAAAAATGTGTGTGTGTGTGTATATATATATATATATATGAAAAATTAATCTTTTAATCCTTCAACTTTTAAACCACTTGTAACTCAGTCCCTCAATTATGACTCGCCTATGACTCAGTCTCTCAACTTTTGAATCACTTATAATTTAGTCCCTCAACTTTTTTTAATTCTCTTTTTTCATGTTAGCTTATATCTTATATCAAAGAGCAAGATAAGAGTATTTTAGAATAATATATAAGCATTTCTTTTATCCCTCTTATTTGATAAGAAGTTTTTTAAAAAAATTAAAAAATAAGGACCGAATTATATGTGAATTAAAAGTTGAGGGACTAAGATGCAACGAGTTATAGTTAAGAGATTGAGTTGCAGTGAGTCATAATTCAAGAACTGAGTTATAAGTGAGTTAAAAGTTGAATGACTAAAAGATAAATTTTTCCTATATAAATTTATTGAAAACTTTCTAGTAGTTTTCTAAGAGGGGTTTAAAGAATTAATTTTTTGTCATGTCCAATCGGAAGAAAAATACTTCTATTCAAAGACTTAATTTGTAATATTATATTTTAGCTTATCAGTAAATTATAAATTATAAATATTACCTCAGTCTCTCTACATTTAATTTCATATCAATTATTTCCATGAGACTTAAAACTTCATCAATTCCAAATAGATCATTTTAATTAAGTTTAATTAAATAACAATGACCATACATTTTAAATATTTATATATGTGATCCCATATCTTGAATTTCTATTCCAAAATAAAATTCTTGAGTCTATTATTTCATACTCCCTCCATTTAAAAAAATAAAGCATTTTTAATCGAATATCACTTCTCAATAAAATGATTACCTACTTTCAAACTAACTCTATCTTTTCATATTTACCCCTATTATACACCTACAATAAATATAAAGTCATCATCAATAAGAGCACTTTTGAAAAAAAAAAAAGAAAATGATTATATTTCGAAAAACTAAAAATGCCTTACATTTTTTAATATCCAACTTCTCAAAAAATACCTTACATTTTTTAACGAAAGGAGTAACAATTTTTTTTTGATCAAATGCTAAAACATTTATTATTTGATAATTTATAACTACTCCTTTTATAATTTTATAAAAATAGCTATAATTAAAATATTATAGTAAAGTATATATTATACACACTTATAAAATAAAAAATAAATATAATTTATAAAATTCAAACACAAATTGTAATGTGGGGAGGATTTATAAATAGTTGCAACTTATTATACGTTTGATCATTTATATGATGATATTGATGTTTTGTAATACCTCCACTCTTAGTTTCAACTAAATCATCTTGAATCCCCTGCATTCTTAAGCACATGAGAAGAAAGTTATAGTATTTATAGGTAGGTTACATGCATGGCAGTTAATCTAGGATGAAATGTGTCACAAAATAAGCCCGGTGAAAATAAAACAAATCTCAATTATTGTGTATGTAGTAATTTAATTAGTTGGGAGATGCCCATGGCCTTGTGCCATAGTGGCACCGGCACTCCTCCTGTAACAAGGAGGACATGAATAATTGTCCCCTATAAAATGTCACTGTGGATAGGTGGGGTTAGTGGGCATTATTAGATAATTGTCCCCTACCCCAAAAAAAAAAAAAATTAAGAAACATTTGCCCATTGCTCTCAGTATTATACTGTTGTAGTTATTTATTTATAAGTGTTTATACAATTTTATTTTACATATGTTAAATATTATTATTTTTTCATAAGATGATCAAGTTAATGATTACTCAATATTTAACTTCTACTAACTTGTAGTATTGCTGTACTGGTAAATTAACACTTATAATATTGCTGTAAATGGCACCGATATATAATCTAGTTATTGAAAGAATATTTTTTTTTTTTTGTGAAAAAAGATATAGTTAGCAGCGAATGTAGAGTGGATGCAAAACAATAGAGTACAAAGCAAATATTTCTCTAGAAATAAAAAAAGAAAAAGTTTTGCCTGGCTTTGTTCGGGCGTTTTCCCCATTCAATAAAAAAAAAAGATGCCTTAAAAAAATAAATTTATATTATTGATATTTTTAATATTATTTTGTTAGTATATTATTTATTTTTAATATTTATATTAAATAAAGGTTATTTTAAAATATTTATATTTTTGTTTTTGAAAATAATAAAATTTTAAAATATTTTTAATAAAATTATTGATACGTATATCTAAAAATATTTTATAAAATAATACGGAAGAATATTTTTCGGGTTTCAAAACCCCGTGACTGAAATAGGATTGGGGTTTTTCTTTAGGCCTTTTTTTTTTTTTCTCTAATGAAAGATTTTTTCCTAGGCTTCACAAGTACGCTGATGTACAATGATATATGACCATATAAGTCATAACATGTCATTTAACAACAAGATGACACGTGGAAGATATTTAACGGTTCAGATTGCAATTGCCTTTACCCCTTCATCATCATAACGTGATGCTGATGTACGAACCCCTCGACGGCTTGACCTCACCCAAATTCTTACTCTTCCCATGTGCGTCTTTTTTTTTTTTTTTGAAGTTATTTGTGAGCCAACTCCGTCGTGTTGACCTTCCTAACAAAAAAGATTAAAAAAAAAAAAAAAGAATCGTCACCTTCTTCCTTCCCTATATATACGTTTCAGTTTCTCTCTGTTTTCCCTCACGTTTTCCGCACTCCACGGGAAGTTTTTAGTTTGGCTTAATTTGATTTGAAGTTTCGAACCTCTCTGTCGTAATGCCTGAGCAAGAAATTTGCAGTTCAACGATGGAATCACGTCTTGTGGCGAGGAAATTCTTGGCCAGGCCTCAGCGTGAAGGTGTTGGCGCCGTTGTTAGAAGAAGCATCGGACGGTAATCATAAAGAATATAATGCCGAATTTTTCTGTCGTTCAAATTTTTTTCTTGATCTGGAATTAATTTCTTGACGATTGAGGAATTCGAACTGAGACTGGTTCTTTCTTGATGTATTCGTATTCAGGTTTGAGCTTAAGTACTTTGATCCTTTCCTGGTGCTGGATGAATTCTCAGGTGTGTGAATGAATGTTAACCCAGTAATTTTGGTTCTGTTTTCTGGAAAGCGAAAGAGAACACAACCTGTTTGTGACTATTACTCAAAGAGGTCGATTGCTTCGTTTTCTGAGAAAGTAATTGTTATTTGTTGTTGAATTATGCAGTTTCTGCTCCTTCTGGCTTCCCTGATCATCCGCATAGAGGTTTGAAATTTGGCTCTTTCTTGGCCATTTTCGTTTAATCTTCAAACAAATATTATATGGTCTAACTGCTAATCTGTTGATGACTCAACGACGCTCCTTCTTCTTCGAAACAGGATTTGAGACGGTCACATACATGTTGCAGGTACAGAAAATTTGACAGTTTCATTTGATTCAGTTATCTCAGTTTTCAAACAGCTCACGCGCTTTCTTTGATTTTCCTTTGAAATTTCATACTTCTGTTGTAACCTTCTTATATTGTTAACTAGACTAATAAGTCCCTTGAAATAATATTGCAGAACATTAGTAAAATAATTCACACGTAATTCAAAAATAACCTTAAAATAATAGTAACTTTTGTTTTAGTTCTCCATGTATGGAGTATAATAAAAGTCACCCATGCCATGCATTATAATACAAAAAAATTGGTTAATACATGCTCATATTTCGGAATCAAAGTCATTTGTACTTTTATTATAATATAGCATATTTTACTTTATATAAATAATAGAAGTCAATACAGAGAGTTCACTAATTTACAAGTGCTACTTCCAAAAATAGGAAATGGTTGAGCAGCATATATAAATCTAGATTGTCTAGATTAAAATTCAACGGTCCAGATTAAATATTATTTTATTTTAAAATTTTTGATAAATGATAATTTTAAGATATAGAATTTAAAATGGAGATTATCCATCATTTTAAACGATGATTTTTTCATTTTAAAAATATAAAATAAAAATTTTAAATTCAAACTGTTCAAAGTAACAATTCATGAACTCCCAAAATTTATCATCAAAGTTGCATAGTAGTTTGCGTTGAGTATGTTTTAAATATTAGAAATATATATAATAGTCTATGTTAAGCATGGTTTAAGGTGAGTGTAACTTTGATTGTATGATCAGGGAGCTATAACACATGAGGATTTTGAAGGGCACAAAGGAACTATTGAAGCAGGTGACTTGCAGTGGATGACTGCAGGGAGAGGGATAGTTCACTCTGAGATGCCTGCAGCTCAAGGAATTCAAAAAGGTCTTCAGCTTTGGATCAATCTTGCTTCCAATGAGAAAATGTATGTCCAGATTATCCTTCTCCCTCTGTCTCTGTTTTTTTTTTTTTTTCTTTGGCCAAGCTCTGTTTTTGTTTTTTAATTCAATAAAAAAGTTACAACAATAAACCGAAGTCCTTATCTTATATGATTGTAGATAATAACCAAAGTCAAATTTATACTAGAGAAGTATAATAAACCAAAGTCAAACTATGTATTCAGCATGCTTTATTGGTTTGATTTATTTATTTTTAAATTAACTATATTTCTCAAAATTGAATTGATGAAATTAATTACATAAATTGTTATGTGGTCAATATCAATACAAATTTTTAATGAGTTCCGTTAAAATTATAAATAGGTCCTTCCTATTTTCGAAACATACATAAGTCTCCCCTTAAATAACGATTAAAATTGACATATTTCCCTTTAATTATATAAAACTGTCATCTATTTTATAAAATATGAAAAATTTTCTTGAAAATAAAAATAGGATTGTGTAAATTAAAAAAAATAACTAATGGTGATTTTTATAATTTATTTATTTTTTGTTTCACTGTTTATGTATGTTTTAAGAATAAGAGGGAGAATTGAGTGATTGAGGAAAATGGACTTTCATGTAATTCACATTTTATTAAGAGAATGTTGTGAGTTTTAAATATAAAGAGGAGACAGGTACAAGTTTAATAAAATTTAAGACAATTCAGTTTATTTTTTTTAAAAAAAATTATAGATAGGTGCATCTTCTTGCATTGAGTCTGTTTAAATCTTGTAATTTCTTCTTAAATCAACTTGATGCATTTGAAGTTTAAAATGTTAAGAAATATTGAACTCATGCTTACGAAGAGAGATATCCATGTCCTCAAGCACCTTTAATTTCTGATTTCCATATCCCCTAGCACTCTACAAAGGATTTGAACATAAAATCTCATTAAAAGAGTCCACAGCTTCTGAACAATAAAATGTCCTTTCCGACTTGGTCAAATACTACCTCAGCTTGGCCCCACGATCAGATGAAATACATTTTTGTATCATCATGAAGACGATCACTATATTTATTTACAGGGTCATTTAGATAATGCAAGCCATTAACGAGACAAAAAGGAATTCCATTTTTGTTTAGTAAAGAGAGTAAAATTATGAGTTATTCAAAATTTTCTTTCTTTCTTTCTTTATTTTTCTTTTCTTTTTTCTTTTTTAAAAAGTCACTTTCAATTTTTCGTAGGAGTAGGACTTTATCTTCATGATTCCCCATCATGGACCTTTCCTACTTTTGAATGGAACACTAAATGATTCAAGTGTGTATAACGGTCTAAATGGCCACCATAAACAATATGTGCCTCTCTCCCCCATATTCCATGGTCATGATGGAAACTTCCACAATATCTGCAACATGTTGCTCTATGCTACTTTTTTTTTTTTTTTACAAAAAAAAAAAAGAATTGTCTGCTTTTGGGTGCCTCGTGATAGATGGAAAAATCTTTTAGTGTACTGTTATGTCGGATAGAGTCATAATTTTAAAAAGTGCATGAGCGCACATGTGAGAATTCTTTTGCTTTCCATCTACCTTTTTTTTTTTTTTGCCCCTAATGATTTCTTTTTAATAATATAATATAAATCCTGAATGAAAAGAGAACTCAAAGCTAACCTTACCACTGCTGTCTTGCAAGAGAAAGACATGGAAAACCTGATACTTTGAGAAATCATAATTCTTATTGAAATTTAGTTTCACGCAATTTTTTTGACCTAAAAAAAAACATACCTAAACTAAGAAAATGGTACAAAAAATACTCCATTTTTTAGGCCAAAATTTTCCACATGTAGCTGTAGGAAGGTTTAGAAAGAATGGCCTTCCAAATGTTGTACGTAACTGAAGAAAGTCACCAACGAACATGAGCATGTCAAATGTGGGTTTCAATTAGTTTAACCTATATATCTAATCTAACTAGCTAAGAATCTCATTTTGGAATTATTACTTATACTTTAAGAAACTAAACCACAACCAACCTTGCTTGAAACTCCAAATCATTAGACTAATCTCCTTTTGGTATAATAATTAATTAATCTGTTGTTACTTACACTGCTATTTAATTTCAGGATTGAGCCAAGGTATCAAGAGATGTTAAGCAAGGACATAGCAGAAGCAGTGAAAGATGGGATTAAAGTACGGGTCATAGCAGGAGAAGCCTTAGGAACAAAGTCTCCAATCCAAACAAGAACTCCAACCATGTACTTGGATTTCTCTCTCAAACCTGGGGCCCACTTGCAGCAACCAATTCCAAAGTCATGGAATGCTTTTGCCTATGTTTTGGAAGGAGAAGGTGTGTTTGGCAACATGAAATCTCAGCCTGTCTCTTCGCACCATATTCTTCTTCTTGGTGCAGGAGATGGGCTAGAGGTATGGAACAAGTCTAGTAAGGTGCTTAGGTTTGTGCTTGTTGGAGGCCAACCATTGGGTGAGCCTGTGGCTCAGTTTGGACCCTTTGTGATGAACACTCAAGAAGAGATTGACCAAACCATTGATGATTTTGAGAACTGTGTCAATGGGTTTGAGAAAGCTAGGCATTGGAAGTCTGAGGCTGCAATAACTCTGGATTTTTAGTTAATATATTTGTTTAGCTAGCTTGCAAATTCATTGGTTGATTTAGAAAGGAATGATGAATGAAGAAATAAACGGTGTTACTGCCGATGCTCACAATGTAAATTAAAGTTTATTAATTAGATGCAAAAAGAAAGGAAAAGTGGTATGCACTTTGTTTTTAGAATTAAAAATCTGAAATCTTAGGAGTGCATTACATCCCACACAAGGCGAACACCTTTTAACCATGTGCCAGTGGAACTCTTCCACAAAAGCCTAAGCATCAGCAAGGTCCCCAACTAAGATGGGACAATGGCACGAAATAAAATTAAAAAAAAAAACAAATTCAAACAGTTGTTGTTGCCTGATAGGTGGTGGTTGAAAATGATTAGAAAATTAGATTAGTTGGCAAATTAACCACCATATTATGAAAAAAAAAACTTATTTACCAAAATACTACACATTTAATAGTATTTATAAGATACTATAAATTAAAAACTAGCTTCAATAAGACTAAGTTCAGTTTTTTTTTTCTGTGTTAGAACTATGACTCAGTCTGTGTGAGATTGAGTTTTGTACCAACAATTTTTTTTAAAAAATTATATTATCAAACGTAGCAAGCATGCCCCAGTGTCTTTGAGCACCCCTCGTTGGGTAGCCTAACCTCTTCTCCTCCCCCTTTTGCAATCACTCACCCTCCCCTCTTACAAACATCTTCCCTACTTTTAATGCTAAAAATTTAACCCAACTTGATAGACTAATTTAAATAAGCTTAAATTTGAACAAGTTTAATTTGAATATTTTAAATTTTTATTATTACTAAAATAAAGTTAAAATTAGATCAAAATTAAAAATATTTTTTTAAAAAAACAAACATTAAAATTGATTTTAAAAATAAAATAAAATAATATTTAATAATTTAAATATTCAGGCCATTTTAAATGAGCCCAAAAGTGACAAATTGACCACTATACTATAAAAAAATTATTTATTAAAATACAACACATTTAAAAATATTTATCAAACTCCTACTCCTTCTGTTTAAAGTTTAAACATGGAAGGCATTTTAATCAAATCTTATTTTAATAAAATAGTTATTTATTTTTAAACTAATCTTATTTTTTTTATATTTTCAAACTAAAAATAAAAATATCTTATATTTTTAAATATTTAAACTCTTAAAAAATATCTTATATTAATAAATAGAGAGAGTATAAATTAAAAATTGGCATCCATAACATCAAGTTCAGATTTTTTTTTTTTTTTGTTTTTTGTTTTTTTGTAAGAACTTTGTAGTTTGCCCTATATGACACTGACTTTTATGCTAATAATTAAAAAAATTGCTTGTCAGATGTGGCAGGCATGCTTGCTACTTTATCCCAGCCCAATTAACAATTTCTGCCCCTTTTCCCTCTCAATAACTCTCCTCCTCTCTCACGAGCAGCACCCCTGCCCCTCATGCATATACTAAAGGAAGAATATATGATTTGGTGGTTATAATGTTGACATGAACTCTTTAGGTCAATTTTTATAATTTTAACTTAATTTAGTTTTAAATTTTTATTATTTTAACTTAATTTTTATAATTTAAAATATAAGTTTTTATATTGTGAAAAAATAAAATATTAAATATTAAAATTATGTTAATATTTAGGACTATTATTTTAAGTTACTAAACCTTTTTAATTTCTATAGAGATTAAACTTGTAAAATAGCTTTAATTTTGTAATTTTATTTTTTAAAATATAAGGACTAATATATTACATGGTTTAAATTATTGGAACTAAGTTGCAAGAGTTAAAATTTAAAAATCGAATTATAATAAGTTAAAGTTTAAGAATTGAGTTACAGTTAGGTTAAAATAACATGTACCAAATGATTAGTTTTTCCTATATTATAACATATAGATATAAAATATAGTATATAAAAAAATTAGATATTTACATTTATATTTTGTAATTTTAAAAAAATTAATTTTTTAACCCTTCAACTTTTAACTCATTTGTAATTCAATTCTTAAGCTATTACTTAATTACAACTCAATGTCTTAATTATAACTCATTATGACTTAATCCCAAAAAAATCAAGTTTATAATCAATTTCAATGTTCATTTAAAAAAATAATATTTTTAATTTTTATCTAATTTTAACTTTATTTTATTAATAATGAAAATATTAGATATTCAACCTAAATCTATTCAAGTTCAAGCTTATTTAAATTAGCCTATCAAGTCAAGTCAAATTACCGGTACTAGAAGCGGGGGAGATGCTTATGGGAGGAGGTGAGGCCAGTCAGTAGTCACCAGAGAGGGGTATGCAAAGACAGTAAAGAATGCTTGCTACATTTGACAGATACTTTTTTTATAAAAAAAAAAAAAAGTACAAAATTCAGTCTCTCATACACCGAGTCATGTAGTGCTGGCACAGAAAAATAAAAACTGAACTTGGTGTCATGGAAACCAATTTTTAATTTATAGTATTTTGGTAAATAAATTTTTTTTAAACAGTACGGTGGTCAGTTTGCCGGGATTAGTCATACTTGTAAATTAAAATTAGATTTGAGAGGAGTCAAATGAACAAGTAATGCTTTTTGGTGACTATTGGAGGGCTGTCATGTTCAGCCATGGCGGTGTCAAAGGAGGAGAGATATGCGTCGGATCCAAGTAGAAAGAAAGTGATGAACGAAGGGCGAGCTCTTAGTGAGAAGGACTCACTGAGATTGTAGCAAGGGAGGATCACATAAGTCATATATAGAGATATTGTATCAGAGAGAGCAATCAGAGAGTAAGGGGGATGGTCGTCCGATATTTGGGATAGAGTCAAATGATCTTGTTGATATTGGATTTGAATTGTTTGAAGAGCCTACAAAGTGAATTATGATAAATAAATTGAATCCACTGTGCCCTGATTTTGTAATTTTTAAAGAGCTACATGAGAGGCTTTGTGAGCCGTTTGAAAGAACGTTAGTGGTCAAGTTGATGGAGCGCTCAACAAATTTGGCTTTTATGAATGAACCAGAAACTGTCACAGATGTAAGGGAGGAGGGGTGAGGTGATTGTTTCAGATGTGGAGAATGGTTTTTTCCTTACTGGATTTTAGAATGATGAAGATTATTTAGAGGATCCAACAAGGGGTCTATGGGTAATTTCGAACACTTATCTGAAGGTTATAAGATAGTGGGATGGATTCGATCCTCAACTGTTTGGGTAAGATTTCTATACTTCAATTTTTAATTCTTTGTTAAGAAGACTTTGTAGAATTTTGGCTCTACTACAAGGAAGGATTTGAAGATTGATACTTACACTTACCTATATGGTAGAGGATTGTATGCACGAATGTCTTGAAGTGGACATCGCACAACCTTTATTGCCTTAGTATGATGTTGATGAAGTAATTAGACAGATGGAGTACGAGAGTATTGGTCTTCTATGTCTAAATCACGGGATATTCTCGATCATCTAAAAGAGAAATGTTGTACAGAATGGACTAAGAGTGAAGGGTTGAAGGAAGTTCCTCTAACAATGTCACCAGGTGGATGGAAGGTGGTTCAAAGGTCGTGAAGCGAACATCGAATGTTGGGGAATGAAGAGGTTATGGTAGGGGGATCAAGGTTTGCTATATTGGAGCAAGAATGAGAGCTTGTAATGGAGGGAGAGTATATTCCCTTTGAAGAGGTTACTAATGGGCAGTCATAGAGAGTGCATGATGGGAGCAATTTTCTCACAAAGCATAGGGATTCACAAGGTAGTGGTGCAAAGAGGGTTATGAATAGGAAAGTGTTGTGATGGGGGTGTAGGGTAGAAGGGATCTAAATGAGGGTAGATTGTCAAGGTGGTAATTTAGACCAAACCCAATGAGCCAACTCAAATAAATTTGAAAAATTTTAGGGTTAGGTTTGGAAATTTAAAAGATTTTCTTTACTCTTAGCATATTTGGGCCATTCGAATAAAGTCAAAGAAATCTGGGCCAAGCCTAAAACTCAATTGGGGCTTAACCCGAATACTTGAATTTCCTTTTTTTTGTTATTAATAAAATAACTTAAAAATTGAAATCAGATAAAATAATTAAAAATAAAATAAGTAATATTTAAACAATTTAGATATTTAGGCTAGCTCGAAATAAGTTCAAAAGCTTAAGGGATTAAAGTCAAGCTTGGTTATATAAGCTTTTTTTAAATGGTAGGATATTTTAAGCTTGATTTAAATAAATCTAACTTGCTCAAATGACAAGTTCTAGCAGATTGTGTATAGTCAACTAATATGATGATGATGTGTGAGGTAAACAAAGGACTTGATATGAAAGTAGCAGTAGAGAGTGTAGTAGGCTGTGAAGGCCTATAAAAATTGTATGGTGTATTAAGTGCTTGGAAGGATAGTATGTCACTATTTTAATTTTAAATCCATGGAGCTAATTACCTCAAATTGTAGAGGAGAAGCAAGTAGGAAGTGCTTTTCCATGGTTAAGGGGAAGTGTAGGGTACATAAACTTGATCTTGTAGCTCTTATGGTATCCCATAGTAGTAGCAGGTAGGCAATGATAACTATTGGCTGTGAAGAAAATGGGTTTCCAGTATCATGTGATAGTGGAGGCAAGGTGTTTTTTTTTTTTTTTTTTTAATCTTTGGGTGATATTTGGTTGTGTAAAGAGATGAGGATTTGTTCTATCGTTTATGCAAACCTGCAAGATACTCAGAGGGAGGAATTATGGGGGGAAGTGAGAAGGCATAGCAAGTAATATGGTGGGATTTGTGGGTGATAGCGATGGATTTTAATGAGATAGCCTCGCCTATGGAGCATAGTAAAGGGGCACAACCAAACCTAAACAAATGCTAGTTGTCTAGCGTATGGACAAACAAATGTGATTTAATTGATTTGGAGGTAGCAGGGTCGTGGTTTGCTGCTTGGAGGGGACTAAAGTGGCTAGGAAGGGAATGTGTATGTAAGAGATTTTCAACGTGTGTATTCTGACCATTACTCTTTACTCGTGGATTGCGATGGCTTGACAATGGGATACAGACTAGTACAAAAAGATTTTTTAAACAAGTTAAAAAAAAAAAAAAAGACTTTCTAAGCTGGCCTTGGAACCGGTTTAAATATAAGAGGCTTTCTAAGTAGCAAACAAAAATAAAAATAAAAATGAGAGCATATTTTTGGATTATAGGTATTTTTAAATCACCTCCAATCCAAAAACAAATGTCCCTATATTTTGTATCATTACATAAATTATAATAGATTTTATAATAAATTGAAATCACTACATGTAACTACAAAAAATTTATTATCTTTAATATTTATAAAGAAATTTTTATTAATAAAAAATTAATATACAGCCACCAATAGTCAATGCTAGCAAAAGAAAAACAACATACCCTATGATTACAACCTATGATCCAAACATAAGAAAGTAAAGTGTGGATTTTGGCCAATTACATGCCTGCTAAAAGAAGCAAATATACAGATGGTAGTGAAAATAGTAATATTTAATTTCCAATTAACATATAGATTGGGTTAAACTATGAAAAATGTATAGATGATAACATAGCAAATATCTTCCATCGTCCTCCTAGTCTCAGAATAATGTCCCAGCATGATATAAAAAATCAACATCACTATTTTCTAGAGAGCTAATAATTCAAGCAAGAACTCAAATAGGCCATAACTTTTTGAAAAACCCAAATTCATTTAAGCTTTGAGCGGTGTGAAAACCTGCATTTTTTATTTTTAAAATTAATTTTTTACTTTAAAATTAATTATTTTTATTTATAAAATATATTTTTTTAGATACTTAAATGATGTAAAATATTCAAATTTATTTTAAAAAAATAGTGGGTTTTAAAATCTAAAAATTAGTATTAAAATAAATTTTAAATATTATTTTAAAATATTTTATAGATTAAAAATAATAAAAATATGACAATATAAATATTTTTAATTTTTTTAAAAATATCAATAATAATGCAGTCAAATATATCATATTTCAGTATAAAATGATCTAAAATTTAAAGAATTATGTAATATTTATTATATTTTATATATTTTTTAAAAATACTTTTTTATTCGAGGATTTGGACTAAGTTTGAACCCTATCAAGCTTGTCCCAATTTTTTTTAGGTTTATTCAAGTTGACCTGTCGAGTTTGACCTGAATTATTGGTTTTAATATTAATATCAATATACAAAACGCCAACCTAGATACATATATAATTAACTATCTCACTTAAATTTATTACTCTCGATGACTTTTTTCTTTTCTCAAATAAATTATATGGCCACTTTTTCTTTGTTAGTTCAGATATCAGAGATCAATCAGAATCAGTTCAAAACTTCTAAGCCGTGACGAACCTTAAGCTTCTACCCTTTGAAGATCCATCAGAACTGCAATTGTATTATTCAAGACCATAAAAACATGGATTAGAACATCAAAATGGGCATATCACGTCATATGCTGAAAATATGTGCTTACAGGTAAACTTGATATGTTGCAACGAAAACACTGGATGAAATAATTACCTTGTGAAGCTCATCCTTTGTATCAGCTGGATAAAATTTACACGCCTCTGGAAATTCTGAAGCAATATTAGATATACAGCTCTTCTTTACTTCATGTCGATGTTTAAAATTGAGTAAACATAGAAGTACCTATTGAAGATCAAACATGACAGATATCAATGGATATATGCACATCTCAAATTATGTCAAACAAACTTGAAATCTAGCACGTAATTACCACCCTACACTTGAGTTCTTTCACTACCATCACATCACCAAGAATATTATATGTTAAGAAGCTCATGATATGCAATTTCTAAATGTTAGATTTCTTATCTTATGGAGATAAAACTTTATATATTTCCAACATTAATGACTATGTCAGCTGCTACATACCTGCATGTATATATGCACGTTCACGTGACTTCCAAGAAATGAACAAATCAAGAAGAATAGAAAAGGAAGAAACAAAATTAAATAATAAAAACATAACAAAAGAAAAAGGGATAAATATAATCTGCTGGAGCGAACATGAAGTGAAATTTATTTTGATCATAAAAAAATAGGGCGAGTACACTATAAGTACCTCGATCTCCAACATCTGTGAGAGTGCGAGTAACACTTACAGTGTGGCTCCCAAGATTTGGGACAGAGATTGAAGGGTAGTTAAAATCTGAAAATACTGAAAGATGCTGGGAAAGTAAAAGGGCTCCTGGAAAATAACATACATTAAGTCACCTCCAATCCAAAAATAATGCCCCCATTTTTTATCATTACATAAATTTTAATAGATTTTACTTTATAAATACAAATATCATCAAGTTTGAATTTATACATAACAAAAAACAGGTACAACAAATAGGAACAGAAAACTAGTAATACCAACGATGAAAATATAGAAAGCAAGCATGAGCAGTGGCCTAATGTCTGCTCAATTATTTTATTACTAGGTTGAACTTGATATAAAAAAATAGTGAAATTACAATCAACAGTGGCATCATATACCTTAGCCATTTGTACGTCAACAACCTTGTAGCCTTGAAGCACCACCAGCTAAAGACCCTTGAAGCTACGGCATCGAAATTTTAAATCATAATAACAGAAAGTTGAAGGAATGTCTACACTTGTAGCACCAGATAGTTCTATGAGAAACAACTTTCAGTGTCCATAAATGGAAAGAATGCCTTAAAAAACAAGGTTATAGCTATAGTTCAGAGAGTTTAAACTTTAAAATATCAAAAGGAACAACTAACTTTGATTATATCTAGTAAATTGTATTTTAGACTATAATTCAGACTTTAGAGAGTATAAATAGAAAAGTAATGTAATAAGGATAAAAAGACCAAATAAACTTTCAACTTTCTGATCTACCTATACTACTATAAAAAAGGGAAGAAATTAAGGGAAAGAGTGAACAAGATGTTGATGTTACAGTAATATATTGCACAGGGTAAATCATGCATAGAATAAATGTTCATTGGATAGCATCATTAGCATGTAATTTCAGATAAATGCATTTTTTCTTAGTTATGATCATCTCTCCTAAGGTGTATCTGGCATATTTAAAAGGAATAAGTCTACAGTTTGTGTATGCAAATGTATATGAAGTATGTCTGATTTGTAGTGTAGAATTGAGTTGGGCCAACTGAAGAGAGAAATTTCACCATACCAACACCATGCAATTTACATGATTCAAAGTTCCACTATGAATAATTAGCACTCATACCATCATATGAATATCAATGTTAAAAGTAGAACCCATTGACACAATTAAGTGCATGACATAGAAAGCAAATAACAATGTTACCTTCAGAAGAGGGCAAACATCTACTTTACTATCTATCATATCAGCATAGATGGCACAGACCTCAGTCCACAACATCCATACAAAGCACCACTTCTAATTACTAATAATTAACAAGGATAGATGTTGCAAGCAGATTTTACCACAGAAGCAAACAAGTTACCACATCTGATGTCGACCATGAGTAGTAATGTTAGATCCCTAAAGACTTGGTTCTAGTTTGGATCTTGTGTGGGTACCTATCAAGAAATGGAAACATTTAAAAACCGAAATCCCATACCAAGGAAAAAAAGTAAGAGCCCAGCCAAACTCCTATGATATGGGGCCAATTTCAATAGATTATTGGAGGGTCTCATTGATATGCATCCTGTTCCTGTAGGAATTGAAACAACAAGTCGCCAATTATGAGTTGGGTGCTATGACCATTCAGCCAACGATGACTAGCGAGTTTCCCCGTATACTGGGTCATTTAGGTTGACACTTATGCCTTTACATTCAAATTAGAATTGTTCCAATATCTCAACACCTAATATGAGAATTGCTAATAAAACAATTTTTTGACTTTTAATATCAGTTATTACTTTTTAAAATCTGAGTTGGTATACCTCTTGCATGCTACTTATATGACAATCATAAATGCCAATAAAATTAGTTAAAAATATAATGGAATGGATAGCTGGAGTTTACAAAAGAACATACGGAGAAAGAGGAACAAAGGGGATTGACATGTTGCTTGATTCTCACATGACCCAAGTCCTCATACTCGAATGCCACCAGTTCGGGGCTACTCAAATGCTCTATATTATAGCGCTTTTCTGACACTTCAGCAACAGGAACATCTCGGCTGCTACAGTAACAACATATACCTTGGGGAGCGAATCAAATTTCTTTCCTGCCGCTATTTCAAATGCATAAACAAAATACTGACTTCCCTTGCCGGTTCTAACTCGGTCGTTGAGTTGTATCATGAGCATAGCGTGTAGAGTGGAAGAGTTATCGGTGACAATTGTCGAGATCTCATTGGGTGTGAGATTTACCAGCATACTCTAATACCCAAGCAATCGAACAGAGTCTTTGAGACTACATCGTGGAAGAAGAATTTCCACAAAGGCGGTGGTTCGAATTTGGCCCGAAAGTGCAAGTATGAAAATGTGACAACATATATAAAGGAAGAATAGAAGCAAAGAACATAGTTTTCGGAGGGAATACGTGTTTAGGCTTCCCGTAAACATGTGAATAGCTACATTAGCTCTTAGTAGTGGACAGCTAGTACAAGAGGAGTGACAAAATTAGAAGACCCACGGAGGTGACATAGGACGACACTGAGGAAGTGCACAACGAAGACAGTGGCTTGAAGAAGACGACAGGAAAGAATGAGGAAGCACCGCTAGGAGAGGAGAGAACGCGTTCGCATTCGGTGTTCCTCGTCAGCTTGAAAGCTGGTCGTCTCCCTTCATTTTATCAACAAAAAAAAATCCGTACAGTTCATTTTAAATTTATTTTTTAAATATTTTTAATATTATATTTATGAAAATAAAAATTTATAAAACATTTAATATCAAATTTGTACTGTATTTAGATGAGTAATTTGTAAAAATTATATTTTTTATTAAATTAAATTATTCATATTATATATGCATTGTTCAAAGTACATTCAGATAGTTAATTTATAAAATTGAAAAATTAATATGACAAGACTAAGTACTTAGCAAACTCGAGATGGAATCCATTAATATATTAACCCAATTCTAATTTGGCATTTCTAATGGCTATAAGGTTCCTGCCAATTTCTAATGCCCAATTTTGACCTTAGCAAATCAAACACAAAAATACCAACCCCGTTGCATCCCTCTTCATTCTCGTCCACTACTAATGCTAATTCATATTTTAATGCATTTTTATAGTCCTATGATGGATTATATATCTGCTTTAGTGTGCCTCATTTAAGATCATTTACTTATCATTATCATTCTGAATACACACCTTATCATGGTATACCATAAATCCATCATCATTAAAGCTGAAATATGTGATCTAATCTTCCTCCACTTCTTCTCAAATCCTCAAAAGATTTTTGTCTTCTAGCTGCACTATTCTCAACTCTCTCCAAAACTCATCGATAAATCTCAGTCAAATGCAAGTTGTACAACGTCATCTCTAGAACATCATGCTGAATATTTGAGTAGGATTTCAACAATTTGTGTTCTTGTGCAATCAAATGAGCCATATGCACATCTTCTAACTTAAAGCCTCAATAACCACATTTGCTTTACTTGGATGGTATTTTGAGTTCAAACTTGTAGTCTTTGAAGAATTTCATCCACCTCTTCTATCTCATATTCAATTCCTTCTGATCTACTAAATATTTCAAACTCTTAAGGTCGCTAAATACAGTGAAGACCACACCACCTAAATATTGTCACCAAACTTAATTCTCCTTAGGCTTTTAGAATGTTGTCCCACACTGATCTGTCTAAATAAATGGTTGATCTTTCCTAGTCAATCTAGTCAAAAACCTAATGATACTGGTGCCCCAATAATCCCAGAAAGTTTTGAATTTCTATGACAAAATAATACCTTCCCTATTTCAACACCGCATTCACTATATTCGAATCCACTACTATTTCATCTACTAAAACAACATGCCCTAAAAATCTGACTTCTCCCTTGGTGAGCTTGGTGTATCACTTGTTATCTTTCAAAATCTATAACAAAATCATCAAATGCTTGGCATGTTGTTCCTCATTTTCAAGTATATTAGAATGTCATTAATAAAAACTACAACAATGTGATTTAGATAGGGTTAAAAAATATGGTTCACATAATCCATAAAGACCACAAGCACAATCGTCAGCCAGAGTGGCTCTACTGAGAATTGTAAGTGACCATATTTGGTTAAGAAGGCTATCTTAAACACATTCTCCCTCTGAATCCTTAGTTGATAATAAACTAATCTTAGAGAAGACGCTTCATCCAATTGATACAAAAAATTATCGACCCTCAATAAGGGATACTTGTTCTTCACTCACCTTATTTAGCCATCGATAATTGATACAAAGTCACAAGCTACAGTCTTTCTTCTTGATAAACAACACTGGCAAGCCTAAAGGTGACACACCTTGAAGTACCCATTAAACTTATTAGGTTTGTAGCATGCTACTGATTTAAAATTAAATTCTTGCCAAGTTTATAAGCCAACATTTAGCACACCTTGAATCTCATAAAACTCAAGGGCCAACTTCTAACTTTCCTTAAATCCCACATAGACTCAAAGGCCAACCTCTTGCACACTATGAACCTTAACTCTTTAACCAAATCAAAGCACATGCTTAGTTACTATTACACTAAATGACCATAACATTACCTTTTATCATTCACAATCTACTTTAGACTATATAATTTTAATTGTTACTCTAACTTAACAATCATTTCCATCATAGGTTTCATATATTTTTTATTTTTACTGCTAACATAAATATCCTCAAGACTTTTATCATTTGCATCTCCTTATTTGTTAAACTTCAAATCGAATTCTCTTCTTTGAGATAATATCTAATAAATTATTCAATTTAATCATCTAATAGCATGGTTAATTTAGAACACAATGGTTACCCAATATCTAAATGGATATATCTATTATCCATCATATAAAAACTAGAAAAACATATTATTCATTCCTCCTTATTCACCCTATAATTTTACTATTTCCATGACACAATTCCTTTAGAAAGATATTATTACCATGCAATCTTGTTCACTCAAGTATTTGTTCTTCCAATATTGGACCATAATTATACAGCGGATTGCTAACATTAGCAGTAACATGCCTTACTAGTCTTACTTGACAATCTCGATGAAGCGATCACTTTGATAATAAACAATAACTCATGCAAAGGCAATTTATTCTTTTGCACACTTACTAGATATAAATAAATGTGTAGTGCTAAAATCAAATAAAACTTCTATCTTTTGATCACAAAGGAGGATTGTACCTTTGATCAAGTTTGAAGATGCCCCAACCTCATCTTGGGACAGTACACTTCTCCTAATATAATAGATTGCTACTTAGTTGATTTAGCTCTATGCTCTAGACATTTCCTTACAATATGGCCTACTTTGCCACATTCAAAACAAACCCAGCACTTTTCAATATGAGATCTACTATACTTTGTGCATTCTAGCCAATGAGTAGTACTCTATATTGAAGCAAGCATAGTAGATTCCTGTTGTGAGAGTTGTCAACACTTTTTGCATCGTTACTTTACTTTGAGTCTTGAGACTGAGATCCTTTATTGAAACCTTTCTTCCTCAAAACCTTAGAACTACTCGAGATATAGCCACCTTTCTTTAATATTCCTCCTATGGGACCCAGGGCAGATACTCTCTCCCAAAGACATCTTCTTCTCTTAGCTTCAGTCTCATGACCTCTTCTCGTTGCTATTCACAAATTAATATCACTAGTTCCTACTTCCAATTGAAATGGCTTACTATCAAAATCTTCATACAATTTTGAGCTCGAATGTCACCAACAATGATTAATCTATAATTAATCATATTTACAATCATCAATATCATCATTATCGCCATCCATATTCTCTATCTCAATACTTTGAACACCCAATGTTTTCAATCTCTTGCATTCAATCATGCCATTAAATTCATTAACTTTCATTAACATCAACTAACATCATTAAACTCTTTATTCCCCATTAATGGCATTAAACAACCTTCAATCACCATAATAAATGTCATTTTTGGACATTTATGTGAGTCGCCACCAAAGTTGTATAAAATCATAAATCTTAGGTTTAAATAGTTTAGACAATTCCTGTTAACTCCATTCAATTCAATGCATTCAAACCCATAACCCTTATGATCCAAAAATTAACTTCCCTCTATCAATCCTAACTCTAAAGACTCTCAAAAGAAGAAGAGAAAAGAAAAGAGGAGCTTAGAAAACTTACCTTTAGTGTTAGATAGCTTTAAAGTATTCCTAATACCTTTAATCTCTAAGTCCCAATAGAGCAAAATGCAAGTCCCTTTGTTTTTCTTCTTTTTTCCTTATGTTTTTCAAACTAATGCATGTATTTCTTATAGAAAAAATACACCATACACCGTGACACATACTGCATATGCCGCAATGTATAGCATAGGGAGCCATCTTCACACCTTTATGGTCCATGCATTATGTCAGACGTTTCTCGTGCCATGATATGTGGTATAGAGCCATACTTCCTTATTTCCCTCCTTTAAGGTCCAGGTGTCTCTATTCTACTTTAAACCTAATCTTAAGGTTGCAACCATAACCTAATAAGTTCATTAGTCCTATCTAGTCATCCTCTAACTCAAATGTGCTTAGATTTTACACAACTACCCCTTAACTAGTTTGATTAAATAGGAAGTCAAAAATTTAGGATATCACACTTAGTAATATGGAAATGTTCTAGAGTAATTTGACCTAAGATTACCATAAATATAGGGGAAGAAGGTGAATAATAGAATGAAGATTAAGTTTTAAGGGAAATAGTGGGTATTAAGGGATAGAAAGTGAGCAATTTTTTTTTTGTAATAATAGGAATTGAAAGATTATAGAGTTAGAGGAGATGCTTCTAGTTGAAATGTCATATAGATTGCCAGCAATTCTGCTAACAAATATTATAGATTATGATGACAATATTAAGTTTCTTAGAGGGGAAAATGACTATATTTCTATGGAAAATATGCACCATATATTGAAATGAGTAGATTATATCAATGCAAAAGGTTGTCGAAGCTAGCTTAAGAATGGAAGGGGTCAAGGAGGATACAAGTATTCATATGGCTACCTATAAATAAGAGTCTACTTACTTCTTTAAAAAGAAAAATATTTAATGTATCTTTTAAGATGTGCTAAATGTAATGAAGATACTTTACATGTATTAAGAGATTGTGAGGGCGTAAAACAAGTATGGGTATGCTATTTAGGGGAAAAAAGGAAGAATAATTTTTTTTGTTTAATTAAAAGAGTGATTTGTCATGAATTTATCAAATTACTAGAGTTTTAATAAGGATTGGAATATGCATTTTAGGTGGCTATTTGTTTCCTCTGGTATTATTCTTTAAGTTTAGTTTCATATGTCCAAATGACCTAGTGCTAATACTTAAATATATGCTTATGGAGTTTTGAAGGAATGAAGGAGTAGGAGAGGAATGAAATGTAGTTTATAGAGAGAGGTGACTTGGGTTGAGCTAAAGGAAGGGTAGATTAATCTAAATATTTATAAGCCTTTAAGAGGATAAAATAATGATACATGTTGTGATAGTATGTTTAGGAATAATGAAGGGAAGTGGCCTGGGGGTTCTAGCATTGAGTGGTTGTTCATGATTCATTAGTCGAACCATAATTCAATTGTGGTTGAATAGGTAA